TATTTGATTGTCCCAGCATATTCTACAGGGATAAAGAATCTGTACTGTTGCACTAATAATCTAGCTTACTGATCACTACTTTTATACATACTTGTATTTTTCAGTAGCATTTAAAGAGATAGGAAGGAAAAGATCAACTACCTTGCCTATTCATCCAATTTAAGACTATCAAAACTTTTGTCTCTTTTTGTGGTTCCTTTGGATAACTGGAAATTCTGTTAAACCTTAGTCTTTTTGGAGGCTAGATATAGACGTAGGCCAGTGTTCCTCATTTCTCAAACTTACTAGTATGGGTAAGAATCATCATGGGCCGGCCCGGTGGCGCACTCGGTAGAGTGCGGCGCTTGGGAGCGCGGCGGCCCTCCCGCCGAGGGTTCGGATCCCATATAGAGAGCGGTCCGCTCACTGGTTGAGTGCGGTGCAGGTGCAACACCGAGGGTTGCGATCCCGTTACCCGTCACAAAAAAAGACAAAAAAAAAAAAGAATCATCATTGGTGGTTGTTAAAAATGTAGACTCTTAGGTCCTACCTTGGAGGTTTGGGGTAGGACCCTGGAACCTACCTTTTTTAAAAGCTTTGTTTTTCCTTTTAAATTGGGAAATAAATCATACATACAGAAATGGGCATAAAACAAATGTATAGCAAAACAAGGTAGTGAAAAGCAGGTATCCATGTATCCACCACCTATTTCTAGAAATAAACACTGACAGCACCCCAGTAGTACTCAAAATTCTGATCCCTTTCCTCCCCACTATGGTGACCAGCGTGCTGACTTTATAGCAGTTACTTCTTTGTATGCTTTGGAACTTTAGGAAAATGAAATCAGACTGTGTATAAATTTTTGGTCCAGTTTCTTTCACTACACATTTTATGTGAAATATGTCTGTGTTGTTGCATGTCACTGTGGTTTGTTCATTTGATTTTTGTAAAATGTTCCGTTGAATGATTATACCACAATTATCTATTTTACTTTTGGTGGACAATTGGATTGTTTTGACTGTTAGACTATTATTCATAATATTGTATATATTCTTGTACACATCTTCTGGTGTACATGTGCATGCATATGAAGACATATACCTGTCTTCAACTTTAGTAAATATTGCCAAGTTACTTTCCAAAGTGTGTATTCCAGTTTACATCCCCTCTAGCACTGTATGAGAATTCCCATTGCTTCACATTCTTGCCAACACTTGGTATTAACAAATCTGGTGGGTGTATAATAGTATTTCATTGTAATTTTAATAAGATCCGTCCCCTTTTCATTTGTGTATTGACTAATTCCTAGTTTTGTGAAATGCCTGCTCAAGTCTGTTGCCCAGTTTTCTGTTGGGTTGTATTTTCTTGTTGGTTTTTGGAGTTTTTTTTTTTTTTTTTTTGTCTTTTGTCTTTTTCCGTGTCCGGCAACGGATCGCAACCCTCAGTGTTGCCCCCGTACTGGACCGGGGACCGGCAACGGGATCGCAACCCTCGGTGTTGCTCCCGCACCTCGCTCAGCCAGTGAGCGGGAACCGGTCTGTACGTGGGATCCGAACCCTCGGGTGGGAGCGCTGCCGCGCTTCCCAAGCGGCACACTATCCAGTGCGCCACCGGGCCGGCCCCTGTTTTTGGAGTTTTAAAAGAGCATATATATTCTTTTTCAGGAGGCTTTTTTACATGTATTGTAAATATTTCTTTTCTTTTTTTGCTATTTCCTTTTCATAGTGCCATTTCCTTCTCATAGTGTGTCTTCTGATGAATAGTTCCTATCATTCTTTTCCTTCTGTGGTTAATGCTTTTTGTGTCCTGTATAAGAAATCTTTTCCTAAATATACATTCCTATATTATCTTCTAAAAGCTATATCATTTTACCTTCATGTTTAGGTCTACAATTGACCTAGAATTGATTTTGTCTCTGGTTTGTGAGGTAGGGGCCAAGTTAACTTTTTCCATATGGATGCCAAATTGTCCCAGTACTTGTTTTTGAAAAGACTGCCCTTTCCCTGCTTTGTATAGTACCACCTTTGTTCTAAATTGAGTGGATATGCATGGGTCCTTTTCTATTCCATTTGTCTGTCTTTCTATTCTTGCGCTAATGCCATATTGTCTTATTTACTTTGGCTTTATGGTAGTTGAGGTCTGGGGTAAGGTCCAGATCTCCAATAAAATAACACTGTCATTCCGGGGGATTCTGGTAGAGGTGGTCCATGGATGACATCCCTGCTCTAGAGATGCTCTAAGAGAGCCCCCAAATTCTGGCCTAATCTATATTAGTCTATGTGTATAATTGTAAAAACACATTATTAAATGTAGCCATTTTGTTAGATAGTTGCACATACAAAAACACTTTCCCATGTTATTTCCTAATATTTATGAACATCAATACAGTTCGTTGACTATGTACACCTAGTCCATTTTATATATTTATCTGCTGATATTTCTTTCTTAAAAATAATTCTGCAAATACAGTAAAATGTTAATTATGGAATCTAGATGGTGGGTCTATAGATGTTCTTGTGTAATTTTTTTCAGCTTTTCTGTATTTTTGAAAATTTTTATAGTAAAATATTGGGGAAAAGGTGCTGCAGAGAACACCTTATGGTATAAAGTCCCCTCACCAACCCTTGTTTGTACTTAGGATAGGTTTTGGAAGATTTCATAGACCATTTTGATAGAGTCTCAGAGAATTTCTGAGTCAAAGAATGTGAACAGTTTTGGAGCTCTTTAAAAAACATTGCCAGTTTGATTTCCATAAGAGTTTTTTACTCATTAACTTTCCCACCAGCAACATGAGTGTCACATTTCATAGTTTTTATCAGCATAGTATATGAACATAAGCAAAAAATATATATTAATTTTATTTTAATCCTTTGTAAATTTTGCATTTCCAGTTAGGTCAATTGTTTTTCTTTTAATTATTTGATTCTTTATGAAGTGTCTTTTCTACTAGCACTGTAATCAAATTTTGGTGATAATCTAATCTGACAAAAAAGGGTGAGAAAATTCCTCTGGAGAATAAGCAGGTGACTAACAATGCCAAATATGAGAAAGAACAGAGAGAGGGTATTAACTCTACCAAAAATTAAAACATGGTATAAGCCTTTGGAACAGACAGATGGAATAAGTAGTTGGGAATTAGAACTTTTTCAGAATTTGATATGAGATAAAGCAAACTCACCAAAAATCACAAATTAAATGGTGAGCAGAAGGTGTTGGATTTGTAAATTTTTCTCACACCATTCAGTATACTGCATTGTCGATAGATTACAGTTATGTATTAAAAATAAAATGAATATTTCTCAGTAGGTAAGGAAACAGCTAAATTTAGTAGAGGTTGCTAATATTACCAAGGAAAATATAACATTACACCACATAAAAATTCAACTTTTATAATTAAATAGCAACTCATAACTGAAATTTAAATAGTAAATTAGTGCAGCAAAATATCAGAAAAAGATCTGATAGCATAGTTGACATTAGGACTCTTCAGGGAAAGCCTCATTTATCTTTTTTGCTTTTTGCTTTTTTTCTGCAGAAGTCACAACATATTTAACTTTTAATTCACATGAAACCCCTAGATAACACCAAGGTCAGGGGTTTGGAACCCCTTACCCCGCCAGCCACCAAAAAAAAAAAGAAAAGAAAAGAAAAGATAAAAGAAACTATTAGAAACAAACCGATGGCTACACTCTTCTTTGTGTGTGTATGTGTGGTTTTTCTCCCGGAGTTTTCCTGATTTCAAAAATGAAGTTCCAAAAAACTTCCTTTAAATATGAATATATTCTTAAACACTTCTCTTGAGGATCAGCATGAAGGCAGTTAGAACTGAGAATAATCTGTTCACCGAAAACTAGCATAATACAGTTAGAAAAATCTTTTTTTTATAGGTAGGGGAGGTTATGTGTGCCAGAACAAGATGGTTTACTGTTGTTTGATAAAGATTTATACAGTTTGCTACTGATGTACCTTTTTAAGGGAGACCTGAAGATTCCTGGGTGAATGATAAATGATAATCGTTTGGTTTCCTACAGTGAATCCTGAGAATATTAACTTGATGGATTCTGTTCTGCATCTTGGTTAGAGATTATATTGGCACATTTTATAGAGGATCTTCATAAAACTAATTTAAATTTACATTTTGAAAATGACAGGTAGCTGTGGGTGTGGTGTACAAGTTAAAGAAGGTGAGTGGTGGAAGGGTCACTCCTCTGTCGCTAAGTGGTGGCTCTGATGTCAGATGTGCTCATGTATACAGTGTCATTTAAACATACCTTATCTCTTATCTGATAGACGATTTAAAAAAAATAATCACCTATATTCATGAACAACTAATACTACTGTTTACTTAAATCTAATACATCTAATTTTTCTTCCAGCCTTGGAATAGGTCAGTGTTTTTCCAAGTAAGCACCAGATGAACTAGTTGCTTTCCCTCCTCCCCAAGAATATATATTTAAGGGTCTTTATGTGTGAAAAATAGTTTCTTTAGAAAATTAGAATCATACACTGCTAGAGATGCTCATGCTATGCTGTGTTTCTTTTTGTTGTTTTTAGTCACTTTTTTAGTTTTAAGCCAGTAGAGCATTTTTGTTAATAGCAGGGGTTTTGGGGTCCCCATCCCAGGGCTGTGTGCATTTGGGCAAGTTAATTAACATCTCTGAGCTTCAGTTTCGTGGAAAGGGGGAAATAATTGTAACTTGTAGTGTTTTGAGAGCTATTAAATTAGATAAATGCTTGTCAAGCTCCTAGCCCATAATAAATCTTCAATAAATATGTAACTTTTTAAATTTTGGACTTGTTAGTTGATCTGTTATCTCAAATTTATTTTCTTTGGTTAATATTTGAAACATTTACCAACCAGATTCAGAAAATATTTCTAACCTGATATGTAACTAAAAATGTGAAGTTTAGTGCATGCTTTCCTGGTTGTGTCAAGATAATGCAAATGTGGCAGTACTCGGCACATTTTGTAGTCATTTAGTATTGAAGATTTTTATATCAATTTCTTTCTTTGATTACAGTGCCCATATATCTCCCATCAGCATCTTACCAGCCTCTGCAGAGTAAGTGATGTATTTACAGAAGACAAATTTTTAAGATTTTAAAATACTACTAAGCTGTAGAAATGAAAATCATGCATTTATTATGCTCACTTTAGAGGGAAGATTGTACATAGGCAGTAAACTAGTTAATATTTTATGTACTACAATAGGAACAAATGAAGAAGAAATTGCACTAATATACAAAATAAAGATAAGCTTTCTTCAGATGATTTTTTTGATCCTCTGAGATAACTGAAAAATGTTTGGTGTTTTTTTTTTATAGGCAGAATCATCTTTATTGGAGCATGACTTGTTTGGGGCTTACAGCCTGAAATAATTGAAAAAATTTTGATAGAACTTTAATTTTTTTAAAAAGTAGACTTAACATTAAAAATATGGTTAATATTCTTACATGGTCGAGTGTTGGTAAATTATTTTGCTTTATAGATGTAGCTTTGGGGCTGGCTGTTTAGCTCAGTTGGTTAGAATGTAGCCTTGACTAAGGTCAAGTGTTTGGATCCCCATATTAGCCAGCGGCCAATAAATGAATGAATGAGTGAAGCCGTGGAAAGTTAAATGGTTTTCTGTATAGTGAGAAATAAATTATTGGGACAATTGATCCTTCCTACGCCAGTAGTAATAGTGACATTATGGTTGATTTGTATAGGATCATCTATTTGGGCAAATTTCACTTTAAAATTTAAGCCAGTATCATGTACTCCTTTTATGTACTTCTTAGTACAATTTGGTTTATCCATTTAAATATCATAATAATTTGTTTTACTTGTCATAAATTTTAACATTTATGTTTATGTGGCCAAATCTAGTTAGTGACTGCTTCTCACTAAACTGTGTTCTGCTTTTTAGCATTTTAGAAAGAACAATTAGAGCAGCTGTGGAACAGCACCTTTTTGATCTGCAGAGCAGCATTGATCATGATCTTAAGAATTTACAGCAGCAAAGTCTGGCATGTAATAATGAAGTAGGAAGTATAAATTGTGATGGGAAAGGATCTAATAACCAGTAAGAAACATTTTACTATTATTTATTAAGAGTTATAAAATTATTTTATTGTCTTGAAAAACTGTATTTCTACTTAAATAATGAGGTCTTGTCTTACTTGACGATTACTTAAAGTCAATGTGAAAAGTGACTTTGTATATACTTGTATATAAATTGCACATACTTAATGAACATCGAAAATCTGATAACTCCATAAAATATCTTTTATTAAGTCCAACACAGCCAGGTTTTCTTGTCTGAACACCACATGAAGTAACAAGCTTACCTTTAAGGACCGTGTCGTGTGAAAATAAGTTTAAAAAATTAGATTCGTAGTCTGTACAAGAGATAGTCACACTGTGAAGAGGTATACAGTGATCTAGACAGATAGGACAGCAGATTGATATCACTCTAGTGCATGTAGTCACTGAGTAAAATGGCAGCCTATTTAAACTGTTACCCCTGCCACCAGCCTCTCCCTTCCCCACATGGTTTTGTTAGGTTAGCTGTTAATTGTTGAATTTGTATAAGTTAAGAGTACCCATAATGTGTGATGTTACTCCACTCTTCATCTGACCTGTTACCTTTAAAAGGAGGAAAGCCTCACTTCTTTTCCAGCCTCAGCCCTGTAGTTAATATATGTGTGTGCCTCCCACCGTGCAAAGACTTCATATTTTTCATGTATCTGTTTTTACTTTGGAGGCAGATGAGAAGGATGTACCCAAATGTGTTGGATACATAGGAAGGTAAAAAAAATATAGATGATTAGGTAGAGAGATTTTTTTTTTTTCACGAAGCTTTTAAAAGGGCTAACTGGGATAGCTATTAGATATGAAATGAAAGTGAAAATATTAATGGATATGAAAACTAGTGGTAAGAATGTTTATTTTAGGAGTACCATATTACACAACTGCAGGTGTGCCGTGGATGGCACTACCAGCCAGTGCAGCTGTATGTGATGGCCTTGGTTTGTGTACTTTGAAGGCATGATTAGAACTTATACAACTGGATCTATAAGGGAGTATTTGAGCGGTATATGAAGGAAAAAAGCAGTATCTAAAAGTTGGAAACTGTGGGGAAATGTTTTAAAGGATATAATATAAACAGATTCGTTGGCGTTTGCCTTTAGTTTAGCTAGGGATACTGAAAACCTATACCCATTGCTTAAGCAATATTCTTATTTTCACCAGTGTGGAAGTAACCCATGTTCTATCAATGGTAGTGGTTTCATTTTCGTAAACAAAAACTAGAATGTTTTGCATATTCTGAACTATGTAAGATGGAAAATCTGCAGTAGGAAGCTATTCCTGTTGTACTTGATGAGGTGTTGGACACTATGGCATGTAGTACTTGTAGGACAAACAGGTCATTATGTGGGAGTGCACATTTGTAAGGGAAATTATTATTTAGCACATAAATTATTTGAAAAGCTATTCATTTGCTTATGAAAATTTTCAGAGGAGATAACAAACAAGGGTCACTCATGACATCCCACAGAGACCAGTTTTAATAATCTAACTTAGCAAGACAAAAAAAGTGGATTTTTATGAAAAGGACACATTTTCTTTAACAAGTAAAAGTTTCAGATCATTATTGATATTTATGTATTTTCAGGGTATTATGTATTCAACATTTGGTCTGATCTGGTTTTTTAATCTTCATCACTAGGGTTGATATTGCTGCTGATATTATTAATGCTGGTGAAAGTAACAGATACTGTTCAGAACCTGTGGCTAGTGCTAATTTAGACAGTGAAGTAATGCAGCAAGATTTTATATTCGAAGATGAAGAAAATAACCAGGTAAGAAAAGTAAAAAAAATCTCTGTTAGGTGTGCTAGATGTACAACTCTGATTGCTTTATGTGTTCTTTTGATACCAGAAGTTATAGTTCAGTATCTTTGCTGACACACTATTTGTCTCTATTATAAACCCCTAAGAATATACATTCAGTAGAGTTTAGGAACCATCATTAGGTAGAGAAGTAGGTATACAACACCTTATTTTAAAATATTTTCTTTTCTTTTTTTTTCTTTTCTTTTGGCAGCTGGCTGGTACAGGGATTGCTCCATGCTCTAACCAACTGAGCTAACCAGCCAGCCCTATTTTAAAGTATTTTCCTGGAAAGAAACAAATTATGATGTCAGCTGAGGTGGTTAGGTGGTATTATGGTTAAATTTTGATACTTTTGAAAGCTTTTCTGTATTTCTCATAGATTTTCTAATGAACATGGTGTAGGGGGGGGAAATAATTTTCTTCCTACCCTTCATAGTTCTTATGCGGGATGGACCCCTGTAACAAAAGACAGATTAATAAGAGAAAAGCAAGTTTAATAACATGTATACCTCATGTTCACACGGGAGATACTCAGGGGGTGTATACCTCATGTACACATGGGAGATATTCAGGGGAAGGCCCTACCCTTCATAGTTCTTATGCGGGATGGACCCCTGTAACAAAAGACAGATTAATAAGAGAAAAACAAGCAAGTTTAATAACATGTATACCTCATGTACACACGGGAGATACTCAGGGGGTGTATACCTCATGTACACACGGGAGATACTCAGGGGGTGTATACCTCATGTACACATGGGAGATATTCAGGGGAAGGTGAGTAAATCTCTTAAGGTGTGGCTTAAATATCATTCCCTGAAACAAAGAGAGAAGGGTGTGGGGGAATCACATCATGAGCTGACCATGAAAAGCACCCTAAAAGAGGGTAAGGTTTGTTTTGCAGATTGATAAGAGTTTCTTGTGATTTAGAGTCAACCTTCTCTTCCTGGTACAGAGAGGAGACACCCTTAGAAATGGAGATTTCTGTTATAGATGAAAACTTCTCTTAAAAAAGGTTAATGTCTCTGTTTTCTCCTGTGTTTGCTGTTTCCCCAAATAATCATCTCAAAATAATCCTTATACCAAAGAGGCATATTTTGGGGTGGCATGTTCTGAACTCCACCATCAGAATCTTTTCATAATTAGAGAAAACTCATGAACATTGTTTTAAAAATAACTAAATTATTGCCACTATTGTATTTGTTAATGATAACATTGTTTTTAAAGTAATTTCAATTAAATATACAAAGCAGGATCTAAGACATGTTTCAAAGTGTAGTTTTGATAATACTTTTTAGAGTAAGATACTAAGTATAAGGAAGTTTTCATATTTCCATTCCACACTGTGTACTAAAGTGGGTATAATAAGGAATTAGTCAGCAAACTTAGGTTTCTATGCTGCCTTTGCTTTTTCTTTTTTTTTTTTTCTTAATTTTATTTTGTCGATATACAATGAGGTTGATTATTGTGACCCA